CAGAGGCTCTGGCCCTGCTGTGCCCAATTTGTGCTGTTCATAGCTGGGTTAATGGCAGAGTTACTCTGCTTGTCTGTGAGGTGATGGCCCCGTTGTCTGCATGGACACAGGAGCAGCACAACCTGCAGAGCCAACAGCTCCTTCCTGCCAGCCTCTTGTGGCTTTAAAAAATGTCTCAGGTCAGAAAGTCACAGAAGATCCCGAGCTGGAAGGAGCCACAAGGGTCATCCAAGCCCAGCTTGTGGCCCTGCACAGGACAGCCCAACAGTCCCAGCCCAGAGCTCTGGCACTCACTCACAGCCCAGCTCCTGAGCAACATGCAGAGCAGCACAGAGCCCCTGTAACCTGGCAGGGCTCATTCCAGACCCAGCCGTACCCAGCACCCCCAGGACGTGGTTTCTGAGCAGGTTGAACCATTTGGACAGCCCTGGAAGCTCTCCTGTCCAGCAGCTCGAGTGCTCCTCCCTGCACCTCTGTTCCACCCCAGCTCAGGAGACAACGCTCTTATTAAACTACAAATGCTGCTCTTCATAATTTCCATTAATTATGCCCTTAAAAGTTTTATCCTGCCAACTCCTGAAGGGGATGGCCCTGGCCCAGTCAGGTATTTAGGCAAGAAGTGTCAGTGAGATGAACAGAACCAGGAATGTCTCCACACATAAGAGCTTTTCTGGCCATAGGCCAGGAGCACAAAGCATCTTATGGGACCCAGCCCAGGCACAGAGCACCAAAACCCACAGGAGGTATTCCACGGGGAAGAGATTCTTTATAATTTTATATCCATTATCATACAGTCCCAGACTGGTTTGGGTTGGAAGGGACCTCAAGATCATTTTGTTCCACTCCTGCCATGACAGGACACCTTTCACTGTCCCAGGTTGCTCCCAGCCCCATTTAACTTGGCCTTGGACACTTCCAGGGATCCAGGGGCAGCCACAGCTGCTCTGGGCACCCTGTGCCAGGGCCTCTCCATCCTCACAGGGAGGATTCCTTCCCAATATCCCATCTAAACTTCCCTTCTTGCAGTTTGAAGCCATTCCCCCTTGTCCTGTCCCTCCAGGCTCCTGCAAACAGCCTCTCTCCACCTTTCCTGTGGGATCCCTTCAGGTACTGGAAAACTCCAATTAGGTCACCCCAAAGCTTCTCTTCTCCAAGATCTTCATACATATATGTGTGTGTATATATATATAAATTCAATCACAGCTAACAACCCACAGAGCCACATCACAGCACTGATGTGCATCCATAGGAAAACCAGACGTGGAAGAAACCCACAGAAAACCATTTCAGCACTTAAACATTTAGACTTCCAGCCCTATTGTTAACATACAGGGATTTTATAGCATTTTCTTGCCAATAATTTACCAAAATCTTCCATTTTTCTATAGTAAGCAAATCTGTGAGCTTGATTAACTCGAGGAAATTTTCAGTATCCTGCCTTGGGAATTTGAAGTGAATGTGCCTGGAATTAAGAGGGAAGGGAGGAAAGCTCTTCTCTGAGGGGAAGATTTTCCTCTCCTTGCTGGTGAGGGAAGGAGGATGAAGAGCACAGCTCTGACTGGCAAGGAACAAACCACGGGCTGAAAAGAGTGGAAAGAATAAATCCAACCATTCACTGCTAAGGGCAACCCCAGCACAATTGGGAACACTGGGGAGCAGCCAAGCTGTGGTTTGTGGCCCAGGAACAGCCTGCAAAGCTGTGCCACTCCACAGACCATTTTCATTTTATAACCATTTATTTTTCAGCTGGAGGCCTGGGCAAAAAGATGGAATGGTGCTGCGGGAAAAATGTGTGGAATTGGGAGAGATCCATGGCCCAAAATGTCTGGAAATCTGCTGCAGGGAACACCTCTGCACTTGCTCATGTCCTCTATGGCTTTGTAGAGGAATCCTCTCAGTTCTCTAAATCCCAGGAGAACAAAATGCAGTTTGCAGAGGTGACTCAGGACAGGTTGTTCCAAATGGGGTTCAAAAGAAAGGAACATCCTCAATCATCCTTTAGCACGAAATAATGTGTTTGTACCCACAGAGCAAACTCCAGGGAAATGTCAGGGGGAGATAATGTGAAGAAAAATGGATGTTTAAGAACAAAGACGTTGAGAAAGAACACAAAGCTGTGATTTCCATACACGGTATCACAACTTTTATCACTGATTTTTAGACATAACTCCTCTGTGCCATTCGAGTTAACTGCAGCTACCAGGAAGTCAAACAGGATCTAATGGAGAGAATTTGCAGTGACTTCAATGAGCTGAGGACTGGAGACTTCCAGCCAAGACAAATACGAGAGGGGACTGATTAGGAAATGTCACCGTTTCTCCTGCCAAGCACTCAGGGCCTGGTGATAGGAGAGTATTAAATATAATCTTGCAGTCTTTAGGGGCTCTTTGATTTTATATTGCATTCTTATCGGGTTCTTAAAGTCCAGTGTTAATGAGCATGAGAAACTCACTTGATAGTTTGGCAGTTTTGCTGAAATCAAATGGAGTTCATTCAGTCCTGGCCCGTGGATCCAGCTGGAGATGCCTTTCCCTTTCCTATGGCTCCACATGGAACCTCTGGCTGTTCTTTTTCTCCATCCCAGCAATCCAACATCACCTTTAGAACCAGCTCTTCATGACCACCATTAATAAAAAATAGGCTTTATCAATAATCAGAGTTACCCCATCATCCCTGGAAGTGTTGAAGGATGACCAGATTGCTCAGAGTTAGTGGGGTGGAAAAAGAGGAGATTTAAGGTTCCTCCCTACCCAAACCATCCTGAGATTCTGTGAATGAGTTTTTAAAGGACCCAGAAGCAGAGATGAAACATTTACACTGTAAATATTCCCCCATTGCACCCCCTTTGACAGTGACCCCTGAAAGCAGAGCAAGTCCCAATTAACAACACAAACCTCCAAATCTGGTATTTTGGTCACTTTGTCTCAGAAAAGAAATATGTAGAAGTACACATGAAGGAAAAAAAATTAATTAATTATGATTTTCTTTTTAAAATCCCCTTGCAAGTATTACCTCCAATTCCCTTTCTCCTAAAGAGAAATTCCATTGTAAAGATGATTTCTGGAAAGATGAAACAGACACTACTCACACTGAGCAGTGTGTGCAGTTTGAGGATTAAAACAGAAGTTGCAAGGATTAAATGATATCTGATTTACTCAGTTTCTTCCTCTCCAACCTGAAACCTGCCTGGCACAGACTGTTGTGCTAAATAAATTAAATAAAACATGAGATTTTTGGACACAAGGTGCTTTTGAGCTGCAAAGCAGCCACATCTTCACTGTAAGCACAGAGAAAACAGAGTGGAGTGGAAGTTTAAGGTCATCAGCTCTAAATTCTGTCTGCCACTGGCCCACATTGCACAATCACTTAATGTAGCCAGAGCTATTTATTATCCCAGCAAAAAATCATCTTGAGGAGTGAAGTGCAATGTTTCAGTTAACAGATAAAGCCAGGCTGTTTGTGGGGATGTAAATGGATTGGATGGTTAAATTCATCCACGAGCCATCCATCTTTTGTCCTCGACCCTTTTTAGTTACAAAAATGACCTTGGTATTGACAGAATAATACAAACGAACTTCCCCTGTAGTTCATCTATTGATCCCCAGTTTGCTCAGCTGATCACTAATAATCATAAGTAAATAAAGAGGGGCTGTGCATCATCCCTCCATGGCAGCACTGACACACTGGGGCTGATGGGTGGGCACCTCTGGGCTCGGCCCAGGAGCTCAGAGCTCATCCTAAACTGCAGCTTTTCCACCCAGGACAGGCAGTGACAGATAAATCCATGGAAAAGCAGCTCCATGGACTCAGACCTGGGTGTGCAGCCACACCTGGTGTGCCCAGGGTGTCTCAGGGAACAGCTCCAAGGGAAGGAGTGCTGGGATGGATTCAGCACAGACACAATCCAGTCCTTGGAATTATCCATGATTTGACCCCCAGCCAGTGATGTCTCCCTTTGGGTGAGGTTCTGCTCATCACAGAATCCCTTTGGTTGGAAAAGACCAACATCACCCAAGCTCTCATTCTTGGTGTCTCTGGGGTGACTCTCAGTTCTGTTGGAATGTCCTTTCCAGAAATTCTCTTCTCCCTTCAGAGAGGCAGAGGTTCAGTACCTTCAACCCTTTATGGCATCATCAACACTATTTATATTTTCTCACAAAATTCCCTTCATCACAGACAAGGTCTTGTCACTGATGCATTTTGGTTGGCACCAATATCAGGGAAGGAGGAAAACCTCAGCACTTCCATCCCTCCTGGCAAACAGGTGTCGAGGGGAAGGTCTAGGATGAGATGTTCCAAGGGAAAATATTTTCTTCTTCAGGTCTCAAGACACAGAGCAGCTGTCTCTGGCTTCTCCCACAACCCTGTGCTGAATGACAGCCTCCAACCCTACTTAAATGCAATCATTAGGCAGCTAAAAATTTGAGAAAGAGCAGAGAAAAATGACCTCATTTCATTCTCTTCCTACAGCCTACATAGACTGATAAGAATTATGAATTGTTTTACCACATCCAAAGGGTCAATAAAGTTCAGAAGCCAAGTGCAGCCTCTGCCCTGGCATTGCACAACTTCCCTGAGCTCTCTCAGAGTGTTCCAGTGCCCCACATGTCCAATCACAAGCATGAGAACCAACTTGCAATTCACTACATTTCTGCACAAAATTCCAACCCCCAGTAAACAGCAGCTCCAGAGCTGCTCCCCAGTTCCATCCTGCTGGATCCCAGAATCCTGGGGTTTTTGAGCTTTCTGGCACTGACCCCCAGGAGAACACCTGAGGTCTTGGAGAAGGCTTCCAAAATTTGAGTGATGGAGTTAAAATCACAGGTGTGTAGTGAAATAGAAGTGTGTGATTTCACACGGTGAAGGGTTTTAAATCTGAGGTTTTTATAATGCAGTAATAGGTATGGAACAAGATGGAAGATTTTGGGTGATGTCTCTTTCTTTGTTCATCTTCCTTCTTCTTCATGGTTTCAGGCAGTAGTTTTTGGTTGGTCAGTCAGTGTCACACTGAGGGTCATGGGAAGTTAGTTATTGGGTTAAAAGAATAAATAATATAGGTGTTAATTCCCTATTGGACTGTTTAGTTTTAAGAGACCTTGGATCTGTCTCAGTTTTGCTCACTTCTGGCTGGTAGCTGGAAGTGCTGCTGAACTCTCTGTACTTTAGATAAGATTTAATAAACAACCAAGCCTGAACAGAAGAAAATCCGTTTCCTTCATGTATTTTTTAATCCTGGCTCTGAGTGAAGGCAGAAGAGACTGAGACAAAGCACTAATTAAGAGGTGCAAAACTCCCACCTCTGTTTCACCATCCCAGCACCAGCCCTGGTGTAGCCCCAGCCAGCAGCGAGAGCTGGGAGAGGTCATTAATCACACTTGGAGGGAAATCACCCAACGAGCAGCATTCCCAGCAATTCCCCCAGCCTGGAATGGGAAATTCCCTCTCTTTTTTGGCAGCTTGGCTTCCCTGCCCGAGCTGGGAGAGGCAGGAGTGGAAGGGGCTGGCTGGGAATGCATCCCTGCCTGGCACTCGGACAGAAAGGATGGGAAATGTCAGCTTGATACCCATCAGCAGGATAACCTCAGTGTCACTTTAACATGACAAGGTCATCAGCAGGCAGGGTGAGGCAGGAAGAAAAATGGCCCATTAGAGTCAGGAACTGGAAGAGAAACACGAGGCTGCCTCGTTTGTTTTGGGGGAAGGTGTGGATATTCCAGGCTCCATCACAAGGATGAGTTCCCTGAAAGGAAGAGAAGACAGAGACCAGTGCAGCCACCACAGGAGCCTTGAGGGAATTTTGCATCACTTAACTCTCATTTAATTTAGCAAAAATCCTATAAAACTGCAGATCTGAAGAGGCTGGGCTCTGAGCAGGAGGGAATTCCCTGTGCTGGGGTTTTTCTTTTCCATGTTAACCGCAAGGAACAGCTTTGCTGTGTGTGTGTGTGCCACTCTCTGCCCCTTGTCCTGAAGCTGCTCAGAGATGGAGGAAGGATTTACTCTGAGGTGGAAAGTGAGCTTGGAGAGGAGCTCCCTGTAGTAGCACTCTGTGCAAGCAAAGAGAGCAAGAGAGGGGCAGAACTGCACTTTGCCTCCCTTTATTCAGAAGTGATATTCAGCAAATGATGCTCTCTAGAAAGAAAAATTAATCAGGAATTATTCTGTGGCCCAGATTCAGACACCAGCACAATCAGCTTTTTATTGGGAAGGCACACAGAGCTGTTTTATCTGAATTGATAGGACTGCCAGGTGAGCTCCCTTTTAAGAGCTGTAGAAACAATCTCAGACAGCTCTGGATAATATTATGCTTGGAATGATAATATTGTCTTTGGAAAAGGTCAATATTTTATTTAATCAGACAGACAGAGAGTGGGTGGCAATTTCAAGGCATTTTCTTGAGACTGGAATTCAGGGAGTCCAAGTGGAAATAAGATTTTGCTTTTTTTTTCCCTTGGGTTTCTGGGTGACTGGAACCCCCTGATTAGAAGTGAAGGATGCCCTGAGAACTCCTGAGATGAGGGAATGTGGAGATTTTAGCTCATTATGATCCCTTACACAGCAGATGCCACAGGCACTTCTTTCCCCCCTTTCCAGGCAGTGTATTCCTGACAGATGAGGTGGAAGACATCCACCTCAGAAACTCAAACTGCTGCTTTCCTCTTCCAAAACACCACCAGGAAAACAATAAACACAGATGAATCTTCCTCAGCTGTCCCCAGGGACACCTCAATGGCTCCTCTGTGTCACCCACTGTCCTGGAGATAAATCAGTTCTGGTCCTGGAATCTCTGCACAAGGTTTTCCTCAAGTGTGCCAAAATGGCCAAGAGATTCTTTTAAAAAAAAATAATTATTATCCGTAGTAACTCCAGTTATTTGCTGTTGGAGTTAAACTACATTTGGGGCTTCTTCAGAACAGCACCAGAAGAAAAAGGCTTTTTTTTTTTTTTTTCATTAAAGGTTTTGAAGAGCACACACAGCCTGTATTGTTACCCAACACTCCAAGTAAGTTCTGAGGGAAATCTTGGGAGATCCAGCCCCGAGCATTGATTACAAGGAGTTTTTAATCTCGTGCCAAGAGGAACATTGAGGTTATAAGATGGCTCCACAACCATCTTGCCAAATAGCACAAATGTTTACATCTTCCAAACTACCACCAATAGATCATAGACAAAGAAATGTCCATAATGTACCCAGCTGCTGGAAACAAAATGTATTTAAGCCACTGAAGAGGGTTTAATGAAGTAAAGCATTTTTGTAACTGCCAGCTCAAAGTAAATAATCACTGATGTGAGTGCAGTTAAGAGATCCTGACTCGCCAAATAATCTCAATGTGCCATCGAGGAAGCTGCTGCTTTGTGGGAATAACATAACAGCACTTGAACATTCTCATAAACTTGGGTCTTGTCTCCCTCAACACCCTGCACCTCCTGGGATTGGGGAAGTGCAAAGAGAACTTTACAGCATGTGCAGAATCCACTGCGTGGTGAAAGTACTAAAGGTTTAATTCACTCTGAAAGGCCGAGCTGTTTAAACCTCAAAACAACCAAAAATAAAAAGTGAACTACCTGCTTTGACTGATGCATAATCAGCACCTGATTCAAACGAATACAGGCAGTTCTTTTGGGGTTTTTTTTGAAGAATTTACTCCATAACTCTCCACTTCAACACTTTGGGGGTTTCACATTCCTGGAAGCCTTCCAGGATGGGTGAGCACACCCAGGGGCTTTCCCCACCCTGCACACGCCTCCACTGCTTTGTTTGACCCAGGCACTGCCCTGGACCTTGTCCTGCAGGTATGGAAACATCTCTGCAGGACGAAAGGAACATTCCCATCCCTTTTTCCCTCTGTCCAGACAATCTGTGTAACTTCCACAATGTTTGCTACCTTTGAGGATGCACAATGACCTGACCAGGTGAGCACAAACCATAAGGTACAGCCAAAGAAGGACCAATCCAGCCTCACTTTTGGTTTTTACTTGTGCACATGTGAAAAAAAGAAGTTGATATTCTGTATATTGTGTAGAAGGAGACCTGGCCTTGTAGATTTTCTGTCCTAAATCACTTAAAAAGAACACACCAAGCAGCATTTGCAACATTATCTCACAAACCATAACAGCAGAATTCAGGTTCCAGGGATGAGAGTTACTTGCACTTATTTCTCACAGATTTCCTGCAGTCTGCTTGAATATGAATTCGAATGCTTGGCTTTTTTTCTTTCTTTCTTTTTTTTTTTTTTTTTCCAGAATATAAAACCCCTTTTCCTTGCACCACATAATTGTGTTCCATGGCAGAACTGGCATCCATCATTGCCCCGCTGTCCCCTGCCTAAAAGATAAAACATCCACAGGGTAATAAATGTCAAACTATGATTATTGATGCTTTCAATTAAATTGATTATCTATTTGAGGTGCAGAGCAGGGTGATTTATTGCTGTCTCTTTACGTTGCACTTGGCACAACGGCTTCCCTGCAAGGTGGGTGAACCTTTGGATTGTTTCCATGGATTTTCCATTAAATCTGATTTTCCAGAAGTGGCTCACGACCACGCCAGTGCTGGGTGAGCTGAAATGGCACCAGATCCAGGTGGGAATATCCTGGGTTTTGTTATTCCTGGAGCCTGGAGCTTGGGAAGCAAGAGGGGAAAATAGGAAATGAAAACTTTGAAGTGTGGAAGGACAGGAGACACCCTTGATTTACACCCCTCATTCCCAAACTTGCATTTACAAACAGCATCAGACAAAACCTGTGCATGATCTGGAGCTCTGCTGAGCACTCCCCACCTCAGCAGAGATGAGATGAGATGACCTTCGGCTCGTCACTGCATTGTGTTTTTATTAGTTTCAGATAACAGGAGCTATAAAATTCAAAGCCATTTACTCCCCAATGATAATCAGCAGCTGCTTCACAAACAAGGCTCTTTTTGTGGTGCCACGGGGTGACCTTTATCTGATCATTCCCTTAGAGAAATGCCTTTTGTGGCTGGACAAGCCAGGAGCACCTTCCACTGGTTCTCCAAAGCACAGCACACTTTGGCTCAGTCTGCTCCAAAAAGCAAATTTGGCCCAAACCCAAGCACAGCCTCAGCAAGCAATGCTTGTTTTGGGAAGTGCCAGAAATTAACACAAGAAAATGATAATTCTCTTGATGTGCTGCTCTTCCAGCAGGTGGATTTAGAGAAGGAAAGAAAGAAAAGAAAAGAAAAGAAAAGAAAAGAAAAGAAAAGAAAAGAAAAGAAAAGAAAAGAAAAGAAAAGAAAAGAAAAATCAGTGGGGAAACGAAAATCAGCACTGATAATGCACTGACTTTGAATATGAGACACTCCAACTTTCCCCATTTTTGACCACATCTGACATTTCCAAGTCCTGGGGAGGCTTTGTGGCAGAAAACCTTGTGGTTGAACTTCCCAGGCAGTGCCTGACCACGTTTCCCACCATTTTTTATCAGGAGCACCAGGACAAAAGCCCAGCTGAGACATAAAACGAGAAGATGATTCTGCCTGAGACACCTTGTGAAATAAGTGAATAAAGATAAGAGATAAACAGTGAGCATGGAAAAAAAGGATTTCTATCCCAATTTTACAGACCAGATAGACATGAAAAAGTGAGGTGCCCAAATCACCCAGGCTCTGGCATTTAGAAATTGAGTTTCAAGCTCCTTAGACCTAATCTTAACCACAAGGCTGTCAGTCCTGCTCAGATGCAAACACCTTTGACCCTGGTAAGCTCAGAATTACATCCACTCAGACTTTGAAGCCTGGCTTATCTCGCAGCAGTGTAACTGTCCCCTCCACCAGAACACGGCTAAAAACAAACAATCAAGGGAGAAAAAAAAAAAAAAAAGCAAAGCAAATCAAAACTCCTGCAGCTCTGGCCAGAATTCACAATTTCACATTTCATAAAATCATAGAATTCCCTGGGTTGGGATGGACCCACAGGGATCAGTGGGGTCCAGCTTCTGGCCCTACATTTGGTATTTCCCAGCTCCATCCCAGTTTTTGAATGTGGGAGGAATCTGGGAAACACTGAAATGTGCCCAACTTCAGAGAGAAACCCCAGCAAGTGTCCAACAGCCCAGGGCAGAGTGGGCAGGGCAGATATTAAAGCAATATTTCTGTTTGATGGGGTTGGCAGCACTCGAGGATGCAGAGTGCAATGGGCCAGGCTCAAACCTGCCCAAGCAGCCAGGAGTTTTAAAAGCCAGCTCTCAAACACCTTGGGGTCACCAGAACATCGTTTTGGGCCATCAGCTCAGGGGAAAAAAAAAAAGTGATAAAACCCCTGCAAACCCTTCTTTTTTTTTTATTAAATGTCCCCTTTGAGAGAGGCAGAGCCTGGCTGAGCAGGTGAGGACAATGCTCCTCCCAGGGACAGCACCTGCACTGCCTGCCAAAGGTGAGACTCCAGAGAAGGAGCTTGGACATTCCTGCTGCTGGAACATGTGGATCCCCACAAAAAGTGACAGCTCAGGGCAACCAGAGCTGGTTTATTAAACTGGGAATCTCCCTGAGAAAAATAAGAGTATGAGAAAAACCACAAGCAACAGGGAAGTAGGACAAATTCTTTTTAAAACTACAGATCAAAGGCAAACTGCTTTGGTGTTTCTGGACATCTGAAACACAGGGTTTTTCTGTAAAAAAGAAAAGATAAATCTATGTTCTGTACAATTTCTGTGGCCAGCCACTAGCCCTGCAGCAGAGGTTAGAAAATGGCACATCTGGTTTCCAAAGGATCCCTGTGTGGCCACACACAGCTGTAATTATGGCAACGATTTGGGGACAACCTGAATATATTTTTTTAGCTTAAAGGGAAAAAATTAAAAAAAAAAAAAAAAAAAAAAGGAGGAAACCTCATAGGATGGAAGGCACTGACTTCCACCCCTAGACCACATCCTGAGCTTCCAGATGCAGGAAACAAATTCCAAGTGACCCTCTGTGGTGGAGGTTATGGCATCGGGGACTGGCTGCCAGAATGTGCCCGTTGTGGAGGCAGCAGCAGCTCCAGGTGGAGGTGTTTGCTTATGGAAAGTGCCTGGCCATGCTCCAGCCCCGCAGATGCCCGGGAGGAGCAGGGGGATGCAGGAGGAACACGGTGTTCATGGCCCTGCCAGGGCTGTGTGTCCATCCCCACATCACCCCCAGCTCCTGCCTGGAGCCTGGCCATGAAACCAAAAACACCGAGTGACTCAAGGGAACTCGGGTTTTATTGAGAAATGAGCAAATTCCTTCATTCTGAACAACTCCTGGGCCACGAGTCCCCCTCCCTTCAGCACAAACTCCACCAAAGCCAGGCACACACAAGGCTGAGCTCAGCCCACTCCTCACTCCTGATTCCTTGGACAGCAGCACAATGATTTAAAAAAAAAAAAAAAAAAAGGAAAAAATATTTATTGCTGCTTCCCATCCAAGTTTCTATATAAAACTCTTTTTCAAAATGCACAGGGCAAAGTTCTGGCCCGGAACAGGCAAAGAAAAGGGAAACTGAACTGGAGGCAGCTGTGGTCACTTACTCATTCAAGCACGATGGCTCACAGATCGTCCCACCCAGCCCCAACAAAAACTTCCTAAATCATCCCCAAAGTTTGAATCACTCTCTCCCTTCCTTTTCTTCCTGTACTAGAGACTCAAATGTGGCTCTTCAAAGGAAACTCCTGGACTCACTGGCAGGCTGGAGCTCCCTGCCCTGGCAGTAGCACCGTGACAGGCTCGTCTCGGAAAGGAAACACATATTTGGCTTTCCATCCTATAACATTCAAACCTGGAGCCCAAAATAAACTGATTTTTTTCTCTCTCCTTTCCTTGACATACACTGAGCAGCTCTGTTTCCATATCAGACCATGAATCCCTGCCTGCCGAGGTTTTCACATGAATGAAGAAGCCAGGAGCCGATTCCTTAGAACAGCATCTTCACTCCTGACAAAAACAAACCATCCCACTCGTACCTCGCAGTTATCTGACTCAAGACAAGCTCCTTTCCCCCGTTTCTGATAAGGCCAGGTTGGAAATGTCGCTGTGTTATCAGGGCAGCTGCTCAGCTATCAGCAGTGGCCGTGGCTGTGCCCAGCAGGCATCTGCTCTGTTTAACACAGCTCAGGAAGCTCAGGGCAGGTTTTAAGAAGGATGCAGAGGATGTAATGGAGCCTCTAATGTGTTTGGGTTTCTCCAGTGGAATCCAGTTTTATCAGGAAACAAAGGTCCTGGTGGGATTATCAGCAGAAAGAAACCCAGGAGCTGTCTGGTTGGGAGGGGGTTGTGGGGGTTGCTGTGCCAAGGTGCTTCCTCCCAGCAAAACCAGCAGCACTGGGCTCCTCCAACAAATCACGTGGAATTCTGGAAGATTTTCAGCACAAGGAAGTGCTTGCCTGGTGCTGGTTCCTTGGAGAAAGGAAAGAGAAGCCACAGGCACACTGAAATACAAGAAGAATCAGCAAAAATTAAATGTTACTTGCACGTGGCTCATTAAGAAGCCAGCAAAGCTCATCCCTGTTCCCCATCTGAGTGCTGCCCATCCCAAGGCATCAAAGAGAATCCAAAGCTTTCACAGGCACTTCCCACCTTCAATATCCCTGCTCCACCTCCAGCTCATCACTCCTCACAACACACAAACAGCGAGAGCAAGAGGAACTAAAAGTGTCAGAAACTTTGTCACAGGCAGATAAGAAGGTTGTCATTGAGAAAGCAGTAATTATTTGTGAGCTTGAATCCTCATCTTGTTGGTTTGGGTTTTTTTACATACTTGATTAATAAAAGAATTATAATAGTTACTTAAATTCAAACACCAGCCTGTCTGTTAATCCAGACATCCTGGTCAAGGTATTTCAATCCACTCAAAACAACCCTTGTGTTCAAGGGTTCTTGATGAGGCCATGAAATAAACAGAACCCAGATGTCACAAACAGGGAGCAACAACAATGCTGAAAAATACTGATTTTTTTTCCTTTGCCTTCCAGACCTTGTTGTCATCCTCCAGATCTCAGGGTTACACCTTTGAGGTGCTCAGAGGGGTCACACAAACCTGTGTGACACAGGGTGCCACTGCTGCTCCCGGGGGTGACACTGTGCTGCCTTCAGGATGTGGAGGGGCTGCACAGGGAGGATGGAGAGGGATTATTGACAGGGCCTGGAGTGCCAGGGCACAGGGAATGGCAGAGAGAAGGGTTAGATGGGGAATTAGGGAGGAGTTATTCCCTGTGAGGGTGATGAGGGGCTGGGATGGAATTCCCAGAGAAGCTGTGGATCCCTGGCAGCGCCCAAGGCCAGGCTGGATGGGGCTTGGAGCAGCCTGGGACAGTGGAAGGTGTCCCTGCCATGGCAGGGGTGGCACTGGACGCTTTTTAAGGACCCTTCCAACCCAAACCATTCTGGAATCCTGATTCATCCTCAGCCTGAGCCTGTATCCCCAGCACAAGCTCCTCACACCTGAGTGGCACAGGGGGGGCTGGGGGGCTCAGGGGGCTCCCCCGATGATCCCGTAGGGACTGGGGGGGTTCACAGAGCCCCTGTGTGTTCCAAGGGAAGCAGAGGATGAGCCCAGACCCCTCCTGAGCTCTGCCCTCCTCCCTTTCCTCTTCCGTGCCCCCCTCCCACCGTCCCTGCCACCCCCTCACCTCCTCCACAAGCACCAACTAAAAAAGGGAAAGAATGAGAAAGTGAGTACAGCGGGGCTGGCACTGCAGACAATGTCTGTCTTGTGTGAGTAATTTAGCACTATGGCCAGTCAATCTGGTTTCTGGGCCCGATGCCCTGACCCTCTTTAGAGCCGCTCTCTCTCTCCAGCACAGTGTGAAACGTTTCCTTTCACAGCACTGACACTTTGCAGATTGAGACGTCAGGCCTGTCCAACTGCAGCAAATTAGCAATTTTTCTTTTACTAATTGGAAATAAAAATGTTTGCTAAGGGAATAATTTGTAGGAATGCAGTGTTAGGTTTCCGGCTTTTTATAAGGATGCT